GGGCGACATAGCGCCTCACCTCCGACCTCATGATGCATGCGCATGTGAATGAGATAACAGCGTGGGAAGCTTTGATGCGATCATGGATTACACATGCCAATACGTAACATGTGTATCGGCGTAAAGTAACAGGAGTGGTATTCTATGTAACAGGTAGGTATAAGAGCCAAGGACAGTGGAAACTAGACAGACTACACTTGAAAAGGGTGATCCTTTTAGCGAAATAAATGAACCTAACAAAACACCAAGTATTGACTCACAAACGAAAGAGTACATTGATAATGCGTGCCAAAGAGCTATATCAACACTGTTCAATAGAGTAAAAGAACTGATAGACCAACAGAGGGAAGAGCAGCAACAATGGAATGAACAACTGAAAAATATGATCAAAAACCATTTCAATCAGCTTCAGCAGGTCAATTTAACCAATATAGAGAAACAGCCTGACAATAACCAACTACCAGAAGAAGATCACACCTTCCCATTAACCATAAACTCAGCAGACACTAGAGAATTCACAACCCAAGGTAACTATCCACCTACCTCAATTCTCAATGAAATAATTGTAAACATAAAACCATCAGATATAGTAATGAGTAAAGATAGTATGCAAAAAAGTGAAAATCAAGATCAAACAAATAAATAACTGATAGTCAAAAGGGGAAGTTGTAGGTTTCCTATAATCGAATACAAATTACTTAAAAACCTACCTATAGTTCAAGGGTTTGACAACCCATTGGCAGCTGAAATTGAGAGTAGAAGGCTTTGGTAAGTGTTTAACTGGAATGAGGAATAGAAAATAATTGAAATGTTGGCATACAAAAAGCCTGACATCAAAATTGTGAAAGATTATCACATTTAGTGCTTATGCAAAGTTGCAAGAGTTTGCACACAAAAACATAAAAGTCAACATGAAATATCTACATTACAACTCATCTTTATAGATATTAAAAGTAGGTTATATATCTATTCAGAAATGCAATACATATAACAAGTTCAACAATATATCAGAATAGTTATTAGCATTCAGATTATACATGAAAGCAATATGAATTCTCTATAATATTAGATATCAAGAATTGAATTTTTATCAAGATCATATTAGTATTTTGTATACAAAATATAAATTTTTGGCAGTAATGTTATATGATGAAGACTGTCAACTAGAATTAACAATAAATTATAATTCAATATTATTGGAGCAGAATGTTGTAGCAGAAGGAGATAATTTTGATATCTTAGCAACAAAAAGGCTAAGGTTCAACAAGTTAGGAGTAAATAAAACAGAGGTACTATGATATGATGGTAGAAAGATCTGCATTAACTGGAACTGAAGATATTACAATGATAACAAGAAATGTGACCAAGTTTATTATTAACCTGTAGTTTTTTTTTTAACTACAGCAATAACAGAAGTTGTTCAACTATAGTATGACTATTATAATTTGACAAATTTTATACAAAGTCTACACAAGACTTAACAAAATACAGAGTGATTTCAAATTTTAAGACAGAAGCAACAATAGATTTTTTTTTTTTTTAAATATTAACGATAAGGTCATGTCTTTAGTTTATTGAAATTCAATTGAAATTTTTATAAAGAAAAGCTTGCTTTTAAATTACATATGAAGAATAAAGACTCAGACATATAATCTGTAACCTAAACCTACAAGAGTGACCAAGGCTCATCTAGATTTGGGTATTAGTAATAATATATGAGAGAGGAGTACGATATTTAATTCATTGGATAGTCCAAAGATCAATTTTAGTGATAATTTGTGGTATTGAAATAGGAGATAATAGTAAATTAGAAGGAGAATTAAGAGTTAAGTTTGTAGAAGATATAATAGAAGACTGAGTTAATCATGAAATACAATATGAGATTCATATTTGTTTATAAATTTGTTGGTTTAAATGAAAAAAAAATTTAATAGAAAATAAAGTAGCTGTATAGTAAGGAATAAAAGTATTGTGAATAGTAGAAATAAGATCAATAGGAACTAAGCCAGATAAAGTAGAAATAAGAGATGATGTATGAGAAAAATTGTGTAATTTAAAACTATTAAGTATAAGAATTTCTTGATATAAATTAGAGATAAAATTAGTAAACATGTCAAGAGCAATAGCATTTAAGATGCAGTTAAGAGAATTGGAGATTAAATGATAGATTGTTTGAGTAGAAGGACAGAAAGTCCAGTGTAATGAAGAACTAGTTTGATTGCATTGATGGCAGAGAGAAGAGTAAGAAGGGTTGCATTTATGAAAAATATAAGAAACAGGTAATTTATCTAAAAGAATTTTAACATGAAAAGTTTTTAAAGTAGAGGAATAGAAGCTATGTGCAAAGTTAGAAACTTTTTGATTGTAATTAATATAAAGTCAGGTGGCTTCCTAGTTAATATTGGGTACAATGATAGACTATTATTGAAAATAATATTGAGATGTTCAAAGTATTATAATATAAGCTTGACAGATAATACATATAGAGTATTGAATAGGAATTTCAATAGGAAATTAGTCAATAAATGAAGTATATGCATGATTGTAAAGGGTGTTATTTAAAAATATTAAGAAGGGTAATATTTGGTAACTGCGAGCAAGCTGGTTAGCAAAATTATTAAATAGATCATCTTGGTATACAGTAACTTTGTAAAAAGTAAGCTGAATATTATATGAATTAATGAAGTTAATAAAAGTTTGTCAGATAGAGAAGTATGGGATATGAATATAAGAGAGTTTAGAAGCTGATGAGCAAATACAGTGATATTTGAAAATTACAGATTGTGAGTCAGTATAAATATGAACTAAACAGTTTCTGGGAGCAGTAATGATTGCTGAAAGAATATCAAAAATTTTAGTTTTAAAAAAGTATAACCAAAGTTTAATTTGTGTCTAAAATGAATAAGTAGTTGTAGAGTTATCTACTTAGACCCAACCTATACCCATAGAACATTGAAAGATGCCAAGCTTAATAACTGAACCATCAGTATAAAATGAGATAGTAGTTAGGTTATAGTTAGAATTAGCGATAAACTGTAGGCTATCAGTAAGTTGGCCTGCCTGAAAGATGTCAGGTAATTGTTAAAGATTGATTGTTAATAAAGGAGGAGATAGAATATGTAAGAGATGTCAAATAGCTACAGAATATGCAATATCAAGAAAATTGGCATGTAGGTTAAGAGTTTTGTCAGAATTAATACAACAAAATAATTTTGTTACCAGATTTGTAGAAATAAAGATAGTGTACTTGTTGGTGATTGTATTGGAGTTAAGATAACATCTAGGTCATATAGTAGTAGTAGAAAAAAGAGTAGGATAAAGATTAGAAAACTGAGACTGAAATGAACAATGCCAGTGAGTAATAAGAATAAGTCCTGTAGGGCTATTGTGCCTTCTGGCCTTGCCAACAATAATTTAATTATTGAGAATAATAAGTAGCCAGGATTTGGTATTAAAGTTAAAATGGCCAGTAGTATAAAAAAAGTAGTTTGACTAAGGTTGGTTAAAATGATTGTATAATGTATGTTTATAGGAATAGCTAGTAGTAATATTCTCAAGAGTAGTAAACCATTAAGGTATAACACCTTTAGAAAGTTTGTTTAGTCTAGGAGAGATATGTTGCCAATGTAGTAAATATAAATTATTATAGGTGATAAGTTGTTCAAGAAAGAGAAGTTTGTAATGTCTAAGTTGTTTTTTGAAAATAGAATATTTAGAATGAGAGGAAAGAAGAGATTCAAGAGAGATAGTTTCATTATGTAAAGTATAAAGAATGTTATAGGTTGGATTAGTTAAGAATATTCAACCAATATGTTTGATAAGCTGTATAATTTTAAAGTTTGTAGTTAGACAGTTGGGACCATCAATAATTGGGTTGAGATGAAAGAAAATGCTAGTTGGAGACCAGAGATTGGTTTGTAATTGTTGGATTCAAATACAGGTAGATGTGCCTAATAGATCAAAATTATTAAGTCATTTAATAAGATTAGGAATATGGTGTTGCAATTAGATGTCCCAAATGTGTTTAATATTATAAATTTGTGAATGTAGAAAGGTGCTAGAAGGTATTATATGACAAAGTTTAGCTTTGAGTTTGACAAGTCCAATATGCTGAATAATAATTTTATTGCAAGTTAGTTAGTTGATTATGATATTTTGAAGTTGGTATTCAAAAATAGGAATAATTACTGTATTAATGATATAATGAGCATGTAAATCAGTAATACATTTGGTTTTAGCAATTTGGATTAATTGAGAGGATTCAAAAATAAGTAGTTTTGTTTGTTTAGATTGTTTGTTGTTCAAATTAAATCAACAACCTAAAAATTTATATACTATTTTAGAAGAGTAAAGAGGAAGAAAATGATTATTATAAGAGATAGGTGTATAGTGAGATGGAGAATTATTGGTAACCAGAATAGATTTTGAAGGATTGACTTGGATATTGGCCATAGCATAAAAGAATTCAGCTATAGATAATATGTATGATAGTTTAGATTATAATAAAGCAATCCAAAGAGTATCATCCATATAAGCCAAGACAGAACATTGTTTTTGTAATAAGTTAGATGTTTGAAGTTTGAG